GAAATAGAAGTACAATGATGTACACCTGAAATTTTTACAATGTTATAAACCAATGTTACTGCAATAAACAAAAAATTAAAAAAATAAAATAAAATAAAGTAAATTGAACACACACAAAAAAATAATAATAATAATAAAATTAATATTTAAACAGTAAAGAAGACCATAGAGCAAAAAGTGAAAGTCATAGGCATACTCCTATCACCCGTTCCTCATATTCACAATCCGCAAAAGTAACTGTTAAGTTTCTGATGTATTCTTTATGGTATTTCCTATGAATATATAACCTTCCTTGTTAAACACAAGTGGGTTCATGCTATGCAAACTGTTTTCTGACTTTCCCTTTTTGCTCTCTCATGCGCATTCCTGAAGCAGAAACGTCTCTGGGAACTCCAGATCTATGCCTAGGGGTTTGACCACAGTAAAAGGGAAGAGGCCAGTGAAGTGGTGGAAGGAGAGGCTGCCGTTCTATACTCTTTCATCAGTTTGTCAGAACTGAGAAATCCCAAGTGCCATGTAGGGAGAGAGTAAGAGATAGGAGCTTAGGTCTGTGCTTAGAATTAGGCCTCAAACCAGGCCACCCAGCAGCTTCTCTGACTAGACTTTTAAGCAGAATCTCAGCCTCAGTATCATTAAAGGCATTAAAATTTCAGTGCTACTCATTAATTTCTTTATTTAGCACCTCTGCTGCCAGGCAGTTACAATGTGCCAGGAGCTATAGGCTGAAGGGTATAGCAGTGACGGATACACACTCTGCCTCCTCCTGTGTTGCTAACCACCTAGGTGGGGAAGGTGACATAGAATAAATTCCAAGTGTAGTACATGTTTTAAAGAAGTTCTGGGTGCTGTGGGAGTATATAAAAAGAAAATTGCCATTAAAAACAGGCCCTGAGGAACAAAGCAGATTTACAGTCTGGTTAACCATAAAATGAACTGTAATAAAATGTTAATTAGCATTGCATCTCATAATTTCTTGGTGTTAGGAAACTATCTTTTCAGACCTTTGGAATTTGTTAAAATGGAATTTGTATAATTGACAGTGAAAATTTTCTTACTTGCAGGTTTACTTTTTTTTTTTTTTTTTTTTTGTGAGGAGATCAGCCCTGTGCTAACATCCACCAATCCTCCTCTTTTTTTGCTGAGGAAGACGGCCCTGGGCTAACATCTGTGCCCATCTTCCTCCACTTTATATGGGACGCCGCCACAGCATGGCTTGACAAGCAGTGCGTCGGTGCGCGCCCGGGATCCGAACCAGCGAACCCCGGGCCGCCGCAGCGGAGCGCGCGCACGTTTTAACCGCTTGCGCCACCGGGCCGGCCCCTGCAGGTTTACTTTTGTCTAGCATAAAAATGAAATGTTTGCAAAATTCAGAGAATAATTTTCGTTTATAATTGTTGGAAATCTTGTACCAAATTATTTTCTAGTTGGTTTTACCCATCAATACTTCCCTTAACTGACTCCCCCTTCTCCCTCTGCAAGTAGAGGTTGGAATCACATGTCATATTGTCTTTCACAGATTTTTTGCTTGCCAATCTGATTCCTTAAGATGAAGTGTTGACAAACTATCGCCTATGGGCCAGATCTCTCCAGCAACTGATTTATATAAAGTTTTATTGGAACACAGCCATGTGCATTCATTATGTACTGTCCATGGCTGCTTTCACAGAGTTCAGTAGTTGTGACAGAGACTATATGGCCCACAAAGCCTAAAATATTTACTATCTGGCCTTTACAGAAAAAGTTTGCTCGTTCCTACTTAAGATGATAAACCTAAAACTTGGGTTTTACTGTGTTAAAAATTAATATCAAGCTTTTTAAAGAAAGCCCTTAAAGTCTCTTTAATAAATATCTTTATATGAAGTGTGATGATTAGAGCAAATAAAATGCCATTTTTAATTACATATTGTGTATAGAGAATATTACTCAAAGTTCTGTTTATACTTAACTATCTTTGGTATTGGAATGAAAAATATGAATCATGTTACAGCCTTCCCCTTTGTAGATTTTTTCTTAACCTTTTGGAAAGAATATAGCCAGGAGTCAGAGTTAATGGGATAGTAGCTAAGTTTATACTAGTTGTTATGACCCAGCCAGAATATTTTGATTTATTAAAGTCGTCTAAGGAAGATAAAGTAGTTGCGCCAATGAGAGACACCCCTTCTCCTTTGCTTGTGTCTTAGAAAAGAAAAATTAAGCCAATGAGAGATTGCTAGAGGGAGCAATGAGAAGCTACTTCTGCTCTCATGGGGGTGGATGGAGGTGGAATGGGTCAGGGTGATGTACTGTGAAAGGTCTCAGCTCTATCCACTGACTGGGATTATTGCTTTGGCATCGATCCATCCAGTTAGTATGATGACTGGAGATCTAACTCTGCACCTCTGACTTTCCCTTGTCTATAAAGGAATCCAAAAAGTCATGGTCCAGAGGAGACACTGATGTCAGGACAACCATAAACGCAATCTTATATCAAGGAGAAAGATGAGATGGGGTAGGAATGGCTCACCATGTCTAGGGACTGGGGATAAAAGAAAGGTGGCTTAGGTGGACCATTTGTTGGCCATTCTGTTAATGGACACAATAAATGGGCTGGTCTTCCTTTATGAAGGTCTGGGATTTGTTTGGACCCTCAGGACAGGCTAGGGAGAATTATGGTTTTTGTTATTTCAGGTTAATCCATAGATAGTCCATGCTGTCACGGTTTTCATGATCTCAGTTTGCTATACATTAGTTCTAGTTGCTGTCAGTGATGTCCGTGTGTGTCACGGAACCATACGTATGTTCTTTGGGTTGGACATATCTGGATTCAAATACTGGTAATGACTAAACTTACCTTTGGGAAATGAAGGTAATCGAGAAGAACTATTATCTCTTTTCTAAGAAGGCCCTTAGAGGATTAGGAGGATACACTGCATAAAAATAAAGTTACTTAAACTTGCATGACTGGTTAACTCTAGTCCACTTTTTGTCAGTACAATCCCATTTCTGCAAATGCAGTTCAGAGAACTTTTCTAGCGGTAGAACAATAGTCGTGGGTTTAAGTTATGTTTGGTCATATCTACAAGTGTAAGAATCTTTACAGAGGGCAAAATTTTTGAACTCTGGACTATTCTAGAGAATCCCACTGACATGGCCTCTAATCGTGGCAGTCCTATAGTCCTGTTTCATTGTGCTTTGGGTTAGTTTTAAAATTGTACCAGTAATATAGGAACATGTTCTCATCACAAAAACAAAACAAAACAACAATGAAATATAAAAAGGATAAAGCCCCTGTGACCAGTCCCTTACCTGTTCCTCCTCCCGCATCTTCCTCCCTATCCCCAGGGGAAACCACTGTTGCCAGATTTTTCTCACAATTACTTGTACTGTGCCTTTTTGAAATCTTCTAGTAAGCAGATGCAATAAAAGCTTTCTTAGGAGTTTAAACTTGAGGCAAGATGACAGGGAAAAGCTCTTCAACTTCTCTCACAATATGCATTTACTCCAAGTTTGGAACATGGCTATATATATGTATGAGGTAAAATTAGGATTTCCCTAGGATTGAAATTTGGAAATTAGAACTCCATAGACTATGACAGTTTTAAAATTTGTAGAATCTTTTTACTGTCAGGAAAATTCTGTTATCACTTATATATTATTGACTAAGAAATCTGGAAGTTCAGAGAAAGAACCTACAGTGATGGCCTGCTTTCCAGATCTGGCTTACAAATGAGTTTTATTTGGCCTGCACAGTGCTTTAAAATTTTTTTCAATTTAAATGTCTTTAGTTGGGGCATGCTTTCTCCAAACGGTCTGCCCTTTCATCTATAGCTTTGCTCATTTTTGGGACCTGCTTGGCCCTAAGAGACATTTGAATTTGAGACTCCTGTTTTGAGAAAAGGAGAGGTTCAAAGTTAAGCTGAACTGTTTTTGTTTTGCTCACACATGGCTAAGCTCAAATCTGAAGACTTAGGAGAGTTCCCTAATATAAACTATTTTATGTATCTAGCATATGTGTGTGTGCATCTATATGATTTTCCTTTGATTTTATACATTAATCCTTCCATAATTAGGTATTATTCTTTAAAATGATTGATGACCAGCATGTCTTCACATATTATACAGCTTTGAAATTGTTATGACTTGAAGTATGGTGCTTGATTTCTTAGCTCTTGACTTAAAAAGTTTAATTGGTTAAGTTCTATTTTTTAACCTCGGTGGTGAGTATGCAGTTGTTTGCTTTATTATTCATTAAACTCTTCGTATATGCTATTGATACTGTCTTGTGTGTGTAATCTGTTTTATTTTTTTAAAAACTGTTTAAGGATTGGCTTATGTTTCTTTATTCCCTGAAATAAAGCAACCAAAAAATTTTTTTGTCATATGAAAGAAAATTAATCTCACTTAACTCTCATTTTCTTAATTTATTATTGACATTAGGTGAGTAATGAAAGAGGCTTTGAAAATGTAGAACTGGGAGTCATAGGAAAAAAGAAGAAAGTCCCGAGGAGAGTCATCCACTTTGTTAGTGGTGAAACCATGGAAGAATACAGCACAGATGAAGATGAAGTCGATGGCCTGGAGAAGAAAGATGTTTTGCCTACTGTTGATCCCGTAGGTTTGATACTAATGATCCTTTTGCCAATGGGTTTTGTTTTGATTGGTTTTTTCCCCCTTAAATATTGAACGGAAAAGGGGCCTTTGGAGGTTTAAATCAACTATATTCTGATTATAAAATTATGCATTATGGTTTTGTTAGAAAATAATATTTTTACAGAATATGGCTGAAAATATGTCCTGCGTTTCAATAGTTTGAAATAGTTTATTTTTGAGTGTCAGAGTTCTTTGTCAGTGTGGATATGTTTCTTTAAGACTTATCTTACTAAATAGTGCTTGGATTTCAGTCTCTCTTAATTAAGGATTGTATTACCGTTATAGTTTCTCCCCAAACTTAGGAATTGTCAGTTCTTTTTATTTGCCTAAAGTTTTGATTCGAAGATAGGAGTATACAGTTTTTAACTTTATGTGACTCACCAGGTAAATTTAATGATTTCTAAATTATAAAAGATGTGGCTGTAAAATTATAAGATAGCCGTACATTTTTTAAAAAGGAGTGATGCCCTTCTAAGAAGTCATTTTGAGAGTTCAGTTGATCAAATATTTTGACTTTCTAACAGGTATTGTTTTAGGTGCTGGTGGTACGGCAATGGGCAATATAAATTTCTGCTCATATATGCTAGTGGGCAGACAGGCAAAAAACAAATATATACTGTAATTATCAGACTATGAAAAGTGCTATGAAGAAAATAAAGCGAAGTAGCAGGATAGAGAATTATTAATTTATATTTGATTTTAAAAATGTTAGATTACTAGTTTTTCATCAGATTTGACTCTGAATAAATTTAGCTTATTAAAAAAAGAATCAGATCCAGATTCTCTACTATAGAAAATAGTCAAAGGACTGTGCACTGTACTCTGAAGACAATTCCAAATGCATGCAGAATATTGCAGAGCGTTGCATGCAATGGAAGAATTGTTGAAATAAATGTTTTTCTTTTAAATTAATTTGAAGGGGCTCTTATTTGTATAAATTTGTGTTATATATGTATGCTTTTAAAAGTCATCGTCTCAGAAGTTGCTCTCTAATTACATAGAAACTGATAATAAAGGCATTGCATAGAAAAAATACATCCTTCCTACTTCCCTAAAAATTTACTCTTTCTTTAAAGCTTTATTGAGATACAGTTCACCTAGCATACAGTTCACCAATTTAAAGTTTACATTTCTGTGGTTTTTAGTATATTCACTGAAATGCCTAACCATTACCATGGTCAATTTAAGTATTTTTGCATCACCTCAAAAAGAAACTTAGTACCCTCTAGCTATCACTCCCTATCCTCTATCTCCCTAGCCCCTGACAACTGCTAATCTACTTTCTGTCTATAAATTTCCCTGTTATGGACATTTTATATGAATGAACTCATATGTGGTCTTTTGTGATTAGCTTCTTTCACTTAGCACAATGTTTTCAAGGTCCATCCATGTTATACAGCATGTGTCAGAACTTCAGTCCTTTTTGATATGCCACATTTGTCAGTTCATGGGCATTTGGATTGTTTCCACCTTTTGGCTGTTATGAATAATGCTGAACATTTGTGTACAGGTTTCTGTGTGGATATATGTTTTCATTTCTCTTGGGTGTATACCTATGAGTGGAATTGCCAGGTCACATGGTACCTCTATATTTAATCATTTGAGGAACTGCCAAACTATTTTCTGAAATGGGTGCACCATTTTAAATTCCTGACAGCATTATATGAGGGTTCTGATTTCTCCACATCCTCATCAACACTTACTATCTTTTTCATTGTAGCCATCCTAGTGGGTGTGAAGTAGTATCTCATTGTGGTTTTGATTTGCGTTTCCTTGATGGTCAGTGATATTGAGCATATTTTCATGTGTTTATTGGCCATTTTCTATATCATCCTTAGAGAAATGTCTATTCAGATCTTTTGCCCATTTTTAAACTGGGTTATTTATCTTTTTATTATTGAATTGTAAAAGTTCTTTATATATTCTAGGTACAAGTCCTTTATCAAATAGATGACTTGCAAGTATTTTCTCCCATTCTGTGGGTTGTCTTGCACTTTCTTGATAATGCCCTTTGAAATACAAAAGTTTTTAACTTTGATGAAAGTCTAAGTTATCTATATTTTGTTGTTGTTACTTGTGCTTTTAATGTCTTATCTAAAACTCCTTTGCCAAATCTGAGGTTATGAAGATTTATCTCTATGTTTTCTTTTAAGTTTTATAGGTTTAGCTCTTTTTTTTTTTTTTCTTTTTAAAGATTTTATTTATTTATTTTACCCCCAAAGTCCCAGTAGATAGTTGTCTGTCATAGCTGCACATCCTTCTAGTTGCTGTATGTGGGACATGGCCTCAGCATGGCCGGAGGAGCGGTGCGTCAGTGCGCACCCGGGATCCGAACCCGGGCCGCCAGCAGCGGAGCATGCGCACTTAACCGCTAAGCCACAGGGCTGGCCCAATAGTTTTAGCTCTTATGTTTAGGTCTTTGATCATTTTGGATTAATTTTTGTATATCGTGTGAGGTAAGGGTCCAACTTCATTCTTTTGCATGCGGTTTTCCATTTGTCCTATTCTTTTCCTGTTGGATGGTCTTGGCATCCTTGTCAAAAATCATTTGACCATAGAACATGGTTTTATTTCTAGACCTTTAATTCTACTCCACTGATGTATATATATTTATCCTTGTGCCAGTACGACACTATCGTGATTATTGTTGCTTTGTAGTAAATTTTGAGATTGAGAAGTGTGAGTTCCACTTTTTTCTTCTTTTTCAAGATTGTTTTGGCTATTCTGGGCCCCTTGCAATTTCATATGAAACTTAGAATCAGCTTGTCAGTTTCTGCAAAGAAGCCAGCTGGGAATTGTATTGAATCTGTAGATAAATTTGGAAGTATTGCCATGTTAATAATAAGTCTTCTGATTCATGAATCTTTTAATTTATTTAGGTCTCTTTAATTTCCTTCTATAATGTTTTGTGGTTTTCAGAGTATAAATTTTGCATTTCTTTTTAAAATTTATTTGTAAATGTTTTATTCTTTTTGATGCTATTGTAAATGGAATTGTTTTCTTAATTTTATTTTCAGATCGTTCATTGCTAGTACATAGAATTACAATTGCCTTTTATATATTGATATTGTATTCTGCAATCTTGATGAACTTGTTTATTCTAAGAATTTTTTAGTGGATTCCTTAGGATTTTCTATGTGCAAGATCATGTCTTGTGCAAATAGAGGTAGTTTTATTCTTCTCTTTCAGTCTGGATGCCTTTTATTTCATTTTCTTGCCTAATTACCCTAGCTAGAACTCCATTACAATGTTAAATAGAAGTGGTGAGAGTGGACATTTTGTCGTCTTCTAAATCTCAGGGGAAGACTGTTCAGACTTTTACCATTAAGTATGATGTAGCTGTGAGTATTCTGTAGGTGCCCTTTATCAGTTTGAAGAACTTCCGTTCTATTCGTAGGTTGACTTTTCATCAGTTGAGATGATTATGTGGTTTTGGTTCTGTATTCTATTGATATGGTGACATTAGTTAATTTTTGGATATTAAGCCAACCTTGCATTTCTAGGATAAAACCCACTTGATAACAGTATATAATGCTTTTTATATGTTGCTGGATTTGGTTTGCTAGTATTTTGTTGAAGATTTTTGCATCCACATTCATAAGAAATATAGGTCTGTAATTTTTTTGTGATGTGTTCGTATGGTTTTGATACCAGAGTAATACTGGCCTCATAAAATGAGTTGGGAATGTTCCTCCTTCTTCTGTTTTTTTGGGAGAGTTTGTGAAGAATTGCTATAATTCTTCTTTAAATGTTTAGTAGACTTCAGCTGTGAAGCCACCTTTTCTTTGTGCGTAGTATTTTTTTTTTAAGAATCTATTCAATTTATTCTTTTTTTTCTTTTTTTGGTGAGGAAGATCAGCCCTGAGCTAACATCCATGCTAATCCTCCTCTTTTTGCTGAGGAAGAC